TGGATCTCTTTGAGTTTATCCTACTTGGGGTTTGTTGAGATTCTTGGATTTATAGATTCATGTGTTTCATCAAATGTGGAAAGTTTTCAGCCATTATTTCTTCAGATAAACTTTATATCTTTTTCTCTGTTCTTTCATCTGGAACTCCTGTTTTTGAATATTGGTAGGTGTGGTGGTGTTCCACAGGTCCTGTATGTGCTCTTCATTTTTCTTCATTCTTTTTTTTCATTTTGCTCCTCAGGCTGGAAAATATCTCAATGGACTTATCAAATTTGTTGATTCCTTCTTCTACCTGCTCAAATCTGCTCCTGTGCACCTTTACTGAAATTTTCATTTATTTTACTTTTCAGCTCCAGTATTTCTCTTTGGTTCTATTTTTTTTTTCCTTTTTGTCTTTTTTACTGACCGGTAACAGGATCACAACCCTCGGTGTCGTGCCCGTACCGGGGACTGGCAATGGGATCACAACCCTCGGTGTTGCGCCCGCACCGTGCTCAGCCAGTGAGCGGGAACCGGTCTCCACATGGGATCCGAACCCTCGGCGGGAGCACCGCCGCGCTCCCAAGCGGCGCACTCTCCAGTGTGCCACTGGGCCGGCCCTTTGGTTCTATTTTTAATTTCTATCTCCTTATTGATATTCTCCATTTAGTGAGACATCATTCTCATGTTTTCCTTGAGCTTGCTCTTTGAACATATTTAAAGTAGTAGATTTAAACTGTTTATCTAGAAAGTGCATCACCTGGGCTTCCTCAGGGACAGTTTCTATTATTTTTTCCTACATATGGACTATGCTTTCTTGTCTCTTTGCATGCCTTGTGATTTTTGGTTGAAAACTTAATACTAGAAACATGAGGTGTATTAATCCATTTCTGTTGCTTATAACAAAATACATGGGACTGGGTAATTTGTAAGAAAATGAAACTTATTGCTTACAGTTTTGGAGACTGGGAAGTCCAAAGTCCAGGGAACACATTTGGTCCAGGGAAGGCCTTGGTGGTAGTGACAGTGATGGCAGGATATCATATTGCAAAATGGCAGAGCAGAGAGAGTAGAAACTAACCTCCTTATTCACTCTCCTTTTAAAGCACTCCAAACCATGCCCATGACCACCATTTTTAATCCATTCACTATGGCATGGTCCTATAATCTAATCACCTCTTTAAGGTCCCACCTTTCAGTTACCACAATAGGATTTCCCACCCTCAAGAAAGGCACTTTTTGGGATACTTCAAAAAGTTTGTGGAAAGATAGCATTAAAAGATAATATGAATCTTTCCATGAACTTTTTGAAGTGCCCTCATATTATAATGTGGCAGCTCTGGAAATCAGGTTCTTCTTCCTACCTAAAGTTTGTTGTTGCTGTTTCTTGCAGTAGTTGTTGCCAGTTTGTTCAGTGTCTTTTTTGATCAAATGTTGTGAATTTTATATTTTTTGTTGTGTGTGACCATCGAAGAAGTCTTTGCCCCCTCTTAGCCTAGTGATCTGACAGAGATTTCCTTAGATTCCAGGAACAAAAACCTAAAACTTTCTGTGCATGTGGGCTCTCTGTGTGTGTTGGGGCAAGGCTTTAACACTTAGCCAGTCCATTTACAATGCTTTGTTAGCCTTCATTTCCTGTTTCAGTGAAGCCTGAAGGTCAGAGGTGAGAGGTTAGGGATTTCTGGGTTTTTTGTTTTTGTTTTTGTTTTTTGGATTATGATCTTAGCACTGTGCGGGGCTTTCTAGAGTTCATGGACTATATGGGAGCTTGTTAAAGCTCTTAATCTCCAAAGCATCTCTTTCCCCAGACTTTCCCCTTATGCTTTTGAGTTTTCCCTGATTTTTATCTCTGACCCTAGATCGCAGTCACTAATACATTTGCCTTTGAATTTATCATCAAACACCCAGCCCATGGGAAGTTCAAAGCCCACGACCAGATGGCTACCTGGATGAATTCTACCAAACATTTACAGAACTAATACCAATCCTTCTCAAACTCTTCCAAAAAAAACTGAGAGGGAATACTTCCAAACTCATTTTATGAGGCTAGCATCATCCTGATATCAAAGCCAAAGACACTTCAAAAAAAAAAAAAAGAAAACTACAGGCTAATATCACCTGTGATTTTGAAATGACCCTCCTTGAAAAAGTTTTCCAAATATATTGAATTTATAACAAAAGTCAATGGCAGGGGGATTCACAAAAACTCTTGACCTGTGGTCTCTGGTTTTGACTCTTCCTAATTGGTAAATGATCTTGATTTCTGACTTTTCTTTTGAGATCAATCCAATTAGGACTATTTAGGAGTGCACCCTCATGGCATTTGAGAAGTGGTTGTGGAAATCTGGGAGAATGTTTATTTGTGTGTGTGTGTGTGTGTGTGTGTGTTTGCTGCATCTTGCAGTGGGGTCAGAGGCAGGATCCTTTCCTTAGGAAAAATGTTCCCCGGACCACTCTCTATTGGCTTTATTTTGATTTATGCCTTGGACTTGCGCTGTCCAGTAGAACTATTAAGCACTCTATATTATGGAATTTTTGATGTTTTGGTAGCCACATTAAGAAAAGTCAAAGCAAGAAGGTGAAACTAGTTTTAAAAGCATATTTTAACCCATAATAGCCCAAATATTATCATTTGTGCATGAAGTCGATGTAAAAATTAATAATGGGATATTTTACATTCTCGTTTTTCTTTTTTTTAACATTGGACATTTATGGGGTACAACATGATATTTTGATACATATGTACATTGTACAATGATCAAATCAGGGTATTTAATATGTCTATCATCTTAAGCATTTATCATTTCTTTGTGATGAGAACATTCAAAAACCTCTCTTGAAGCTATTTTAAACATACACTACAGTATTGTTAACTCTAGTCGTCCTACTGTGCAATTGAACAGCAGAACTTATTCCTCATATCTAACTGGGGAAGATTGGTCAAAATGAATATTCTTTTTGTTTTGGTACTGAGTTCCAAAAACCCAGTTTGTACTTTCCTCTTATAGCATATCTTAATGTGTGAGTTGAATTTTATCAGATATGCCTGCTCTGAATTTAGATTTTATAAGATTCACAGCTATAAAATAAGATTCACATATCCATGTTGTTCTAAACACACTTAAAAGTTTTCCACTTAAAGATCATGTCAGAGGAATAGTGAAAAGTTCCTTTTGGATGTTATAACAAAGGGGTCATTGTGATCTTACCAAGGGAAGCAGCCATAGAATGGTGAAGACTGATAGAAGTTTGGAGTAGTCTGAGGAGCAGGTTGGAGGTGAGAAGACAGAGACATGTGAGGTAGATGATCTTTCCTCAGTGGTTCACAGCTGAGGGGGAGGGATAAAAAACAGTGGTTGAAAAGAGGAACCAGGAAGGTTAGGCAAGGGGTTTCTGTGTAGTTAGGAGAAATTTGAATGTACTTAAATGTTGAAGAAAGGATTCAGTAGAAAAAAAAAGTTGAAGATAGAGGGGTTAAATTGGAATATCAGGGCATAAGGTTACAAGGAAGGAATGAGGCACAGATCATCACTGAAGGATAAAAGAAATCTCTTTAAATAAAATTAGAAGAAATTTGGAAACATTGGAAGCTCATCAGAGATATTTGCAGATTTGGCAACTAGACCTGTAAAATTAAATTTTAGTCTAGTCGTTAGAAATTTCTCTGTGAAACATCAAGCAAATTGAGGGAACTTAAGTATATGAAGAAAAAAGAAAAGTGGGGAAAATTTGAAACAGGCCTTGGGAAAAATTAAGGAGGAAATATGCCAACACACAAAAAGAAAGTAAAATTTCTAGGTGTTTCTATAAAGTCTTCCCAATGGAACATCTTGTGTTTATAGTGGTATAAAAATATCATGTATGCTTTTTCCCCCCCAGCTGTTGTCATAAGACCAGCAGTAACTATGGCATGGCAGATAATAGGGATCTTCCAGGTTTGAAGTTTTACAGATGTGATAAGCTGTAAGGGCAACACACAAAAAGAAAGTAAAATTTCTAGGTGTTTCTATAAAGTCTTCCCAATGGAATATCTTGTGTTTATAGTGGTATAAAAATATCATGTATGCTTTTTCCCCCCCAGCTGTTGTCATAAGACCAGCAGTAACTAAGGCATGGCAGATAATAGGGATCTTCCAGGTTTGAAGTTTTACAGATGTGATAAGCTGTAAGGAGTTTTGGATTATTCCAAGGGAATTATTGAGATCTCAGAGCATAGGACAATGAAGAGAGAGAATAAGGTGAAGGTATGGTGGTCTGGAGTAACTTTTGTTCTATTATATGGGTGTTTGAATGAGAAAGCTGGAAATCAGAATTTGTGGTGGGTGAGTAATTTTTCTAAATTATTTATTTTTGAGTATCACCATTTGGGTTTTGTTTGTTTGTTTGTTTAGAGGTTTGCTGTAATTTAATATTACGAACTATTTTTTGAATTCAAAGACCTCCCCAGTAGGACATAATCTTTTATTTATTTATTTATTTGTTATGAATATTCATGAGATAGAAGGCTGATTGTCACCCCTCATCCATTTGGGTTTTGATGAAAATGTCTGTGGTATGGGAACGAGTTTCTAAGCGTGGGGCAGTTGATAATTTCGATATTAACTTTAGTGCTACAGGAGCTTTGAAGACCAAGTGGCCCATGGGCTCATCAAATGAATATTGTAGTCAAATAACAGAAAAAATGGCAGTATTTGGGACTTAGAAAAAGACTGAGGACCACGTGTCATGAGAGAGTGTCAGGATTTGTGTGGTTGAGAGTGACAAGGACAAAAGGAGAATAAGATGATATTCAAACAGGGAAGGGGTTTTGCAAGATGGTGGAGGAGAGTTTTGACCTTGAGTTTTTTTTGCTTGACTCACATCTGCTAGATGGTGTTCCAGGATGCAGGTCAGACCTATCCCCAGAGGGAGAGAGGAAGGATGGAAGTCCAAAGGAGCTAACTGTCCTAAGAAGGCAGGCTTTGTTTATCATTCTGATCCAATTTCACGATTTATTTTTATAGCATAAGAGGAGAAGAATGATGGCCAAGACTTCACAGAGGAAGCAATGTGACTATGCAAACCAATCCAAACCAAAGCCTGACGTGAGCACCTCAATCCCTTTGAGGATGTCCAGTTACATATTCAAGAGGCCAGTTACTGTAATTACATCCCATCTTGGCAATGAGGTTAGATACCATCAATGGGAGGAGAACCTGGACAAACCCCAGCAGTTCTGCTGGCAGAAGAGACTGCAAGGACTCCAGGCCTACAGCAATTCAGGAGAACTTTTAAGTACTTTGGATCTTGCCAAAGTATTGCTAAAACTTGCACCTACTTGCATAGGTGCATGCCTGCCAGGGGCTCTTGCTGGTGGTCTGCACTCCAGCCCCATGCCCACCCTTGCAGGGTCTTCAGATTTGGCAGAGATGATTCCTGGGGGGTGTCAGGGTATCTTGCAGCCCCTCTGCAAACAATTTCTGGTTACTGAGGAAGATATTAGGAAACAGGAAAAGAAAGTGAAGGCAGCAAGAAAGAGACTGGCAATAGCACTGATTGCAGACAGACTCGCTAGTGAGGCAGAGAAAGCGAGGGGCCAGGAAGGGCGTCCTGATAAACACTGTGAAAAAAAAGGGAAAGTGCAGATGGAATGAAGCGTGAAACTCTATTAACTCCTTTGCAGTGTCCGTCAATGTTTTTTCTTTTGCTTTGAGCTCTTGAAACATTAACGTATACCAATAACTTTTCCTTATTAAACTCCTTTGTGTGACACAAGAGGATACAGGCGGTAATTTCTTTTCGAGGGGAGAAATTGGGTTTCAGGTGAGGAGAGAAAGGAGATTTATCTTTTTCATTTTATATTCCCATTTTCATTTACTATTTACATTATTTATTTGTATTTTATTTTATTTTTTAAAAATTATTGCATATTTTAAGGCAGATGATATGCTGTCGTATTTATATAGCAAAGTGATTACTACAGTCAAGCGAATTAACATATTAATCACATCACATAATTACCTTTTTTTTGTGGTAAAAGCACCTAAAATCTACTGTCTTAGCAAATTTCCATTAGGCAATATGGTATTATTAACTATAGTCCTCATGATGTCCATTAGATCTTTAGACATTTATTCTACGTAATTGCAGTCTTGTACCCTTTGAACTACACCTCCCTATCTTCCAACACCCGCTGCCCCTGGTAACCACCATTCTACTCTCTGTTTCTATGTACTTGACTTTTTTTTTTTTTTTCGTGTCCGGCAATGGATCGCAACCCAGAACACTAAATAATTTCATGACTTTGATAACAATACACATAAGGGGAAAAATGTGAACCCAGAAGAACGTATAATACACATAAGGGGAAAAATGTGAACCCAGAAGAACGTATAATACACATAAGGGGAAAAATGTGAACCCAGAAGAACGTATAATACACATAAGGGGAAAAATGTGAACCCAGAAGAACGTATAATACACATAAGGGGAAAAATGTGAACCCAGAAGAACGTATAATACACATAAGGGGAAAAATGTGAACCCAGAAGAACGTATAATACACATAAGGGGAAAAATGTGAACCCAGAAGAACGTATAATACACATAAGGGGAAAAATGTGAACCCAGAAGAACGTATAATACACATAAGGGGAAAAATGTGAACCCAGAAGAACGTATAATACACATAAGGGGAAAAATGTGAACCCAGAAGAACGTATAATACACATAAGGGGAAAAATGTGAACCCAGAAGAACGTATAATACACATAAGGGGAAAAATGTGAACCCAGAAGAACGTATAATACACATAAGGGGAAAAATGTGAACCCAGAAGAACGTATTTCTTTTTCTTTTTCTTGTTATTCCTGTTTTTTCATTCCAATACGTTCTTCTGGGTTCACATTTTTCCCCTTATGTGTATTCTTTACTGGTTTTTCACTAAAGGGCTGCAGAAAGTCAATTTTGAGGTGGTCTGTATGTCTGGAAATGTCTTTATCTCTTTCTCTGAAGTATAGTTTGACTAGGTATGTAATTTAGGTTCTATTTTTTCTTTTTTTCCCCCTTCCTTATCCACTTATCTAATGTTTCTGAGCCTCCATATCTCTGGCTATAAAATGGGAATAAAACTCTCAAGGATGGTGAGAATAACTGAGATAATCCATGCAGCGCTTGCCAACCATGGTACTTAACACATATTATTATCATTATTATAATCTTCAGAGAGAGCATTCTCAGAGAAGGACTCCTGAAGACTAAGAATGCAAGGCTTACACCAAAAAAACAAAGACTGTCTTGATTATCCCTCAGTTTTATTTATGTTTATATCCAAAACGGACATTGTCTTTATAGAGTCTTGGTATTACTCAGGGAGTTAGGCTTCCCAGATATCTAGTCATTTTAGCTCCCAAGTCCCAATGCTGATTGTAGAGTCATTTCTGATCCACTCAATCCTTCTACTTTTCTTCTGCCTCAAGAGACGTCCATCTATAGTGAGATCATCTATGTGCCCACGATCACCGAAGACCACCCGGCTTCCCAGATATCTAGTCATTTTAGCTCCCAAGTCCCAATGCTGATTGTAGAGTCATTTCTGATCCACTCAATCCTTCTACTTTTCTTCTTCCTCAAGAGACGTCCATCTATAGTGAGATCATCTATGTGCCCACGATCACCGAAGACCACCCAAGAAATAGAACACATCGGTCCCTACACTCAGTGTGTTTACAAACTCGGATGGATATGCACATGATAATACGTTAACACTTAACCAAAGCCCATATCAACTTGTATTTCCAATCATTCCTTCTTGGTCTATTTCCAACCTTGGAGGACCCATAAAGTGGGTAAGGAACCTCCCAGGAAGGTTGATCTGTAAGTTCTGGTGAGTCTGAGCTTCAGAGAATGAAGTTGCATAAGAGAAACCTCAGACTTCTCAGGCTTCAGGGAGTGGGGAAACTCGGAGGAACGGAGGTGGATGTGATGGTGGCAGAGCGGTTAAAGGGAGGTGTGTACCGGCTGGCTAAGAAGGAAACCTCACACTGATGTGGGATGTAGGTTTTATATAATGGCAATTTCTGTATCAGTTTTACCAATTCTGGTGTCCCTGAGGGATGACATGTTGTGAAACCATAAGACACAACCTATGGTTGCCTTCAGGACTTAATGAAAGGGGAAGACTTCTCTCTTAGTCCCCTGTGAACTGGTCAGGGTACAAGCCAAGAAAGGCCCAGAGACTGTGTCCGACCAATCTGGTTTATTTCTGCTGCAGCCGAGCTTTTTTGGACCCTGGCTGGGGAAAGAGGGGCCTCGGGCAGATGGAATCACTGCAGCTTCCTCAGGTCCAGGTGTGGCAGGTAATAGCCCAGGCGGTGTCTCTGGACCTCGTAGTTTCCCTCCTTCCTCCGCAGGCACATGGTCACCTGTGAGGGTAAGGAGAAGGCACAGGTCAGCTGATCACCTACTGGCTGTGGTCGGGGAGACACAGGAGTGGGAATGTGGCCAAAGCCAGAGACCCGATACTAACTATATCTCTCTCCCTCCTTTTTTCCATTTAGTTTTCTCCCTCAGTCTTTCTTTTCCTTTCCCTTTTTTCTTTCCACCTCTTTCTCCTCTCTCTCCCTTTTCACTCTCATTTTTTTTTACTTTTTCCTCTCTGATAGCCTCTTCATTTCTCTTTTCCTCTCTCTTAATTTTCAAATCAATATCTATCTATTAGTTTGTCTCTATCTATAAATCATATCTATCTATAAATCAAAGCGTATCATCAATCTATCAATAATCTATCAATAATCTATAATCTATCATCAATCTATCAATAATCTATCAATAGTCTATAATCAAATTAGTTTGTCTCTATGAATCAAAGCGTATCATCAATCTATCAATAATCTATCAATAATAAATAAATCTATCAATAATCACTCTATCATCTGTCATTTATCTATCAGTCTATCATCTACCTATAAATCACTTATCTATCATCTATCACTTACCGATCAATAATCTATCAATAATCAATAAATCTATCAATAATCATTCATCTATCAATCATCTGTGATTTTATCTGTCTCTGATTCTATCATCTATCCATCTGTCTCTCTGCCATCTATCTATTTATATCTATCTATCATTTATCTTTCCTCTCATTCCCTCTCAGTCTCTTTCACTCTCAGTCTTTTGGTCTTGGTCTCAGTCTCTCTCTTCCTCCCCCAAACTCCTCCAGCTTCATTGAGGTACAATAAAGTGACACATTTAAAGTGAATAATTTGATAAGTTTTGACAATAACGTATTGAATCATCATCATGGTCAAGATATGGAATGCCCATCCGTCATCCCTCCAAAATTTCCTTTGCTCCTTTATAATTCCTCCTTTCCTGCTGCTTGTAAACACATTTTCATCCCCAGGCAACCTCTGATCTGATTTCTGTTCCTACAGAGTAGTTTGTATTTTCGAGAGCTTGTTTATAAATGGAATCATATAGTATGTACTCTTTTCTTTATCTGGCCTTTTTTCACTCAGTATAGTTATGAGGGTACATCAAAAAGTTCGTGGAAAATAAAATCGAAAGGTAATATGAATCTTTCCGTGAACTTTTTGAAGTACCCTCTCATTTTGCAATTTATTCATGTTGTTGCATATATTAATAATTCATTCTTTTTTATTGCTGGGTAGTATTCCATTGTTGGGATATACCTGTTGACAGATACTGGCGTTGTTTTCAGTGTTTGGCTATTGCAAACAAGGCTGTAACAAACATTTGTGTACAAGTCTTTGTATAGGAATATGTTTTATTTCTCTTGGATAAATTACTAGCAGTGGGATGGCTGGGTCATATGGTACGTTTGTGTAACTCTCAAAGAAATGGCCAAGCTATTTGTTGCTAGCACTGTATAAGAATTTAAGTTGATTATATCTTCACCACTTGTTAATTGTCACTCTTTTTAGTTTTAGCCATTCTCGTGAGTAATAATATCTCATTGCAACTTCCATGTACATTCCCCAATAGACAATGTTGTTAAGTTTTTTAGATGTATTGCACAACACGGCGAATAGAGTTAATAATAATCTAGTGCAAAATTGCTAAGAGAGTAGATTTCAAGTAGATTTCACATCACACAAAAACGATAAGTATGAGAGGTGATGGATATGTTAATTAGGATGGTCTTATCATTTCATAATGTATGTATGTGTTAAAGCATCACATTGTACCCCATAAAATACACCATTATTATTTGCCAATTAAAAATAAAATTTTAAAAAAGAAAATAAGAAGGTGAGCCACACACAGACTAGGATAAAATATTTGCAAAACACACACCCAGCAAAGGATTTGTATTTATCATATATTAAAAACTCTTACAACCCCATAGTAAGAGGACAAGCCAAGCCTTCCTTACTCACCAGGAAATAGCAGATCAGGCATGTGATGAGTCCCAGGAGTCCCGCCAAGCAGATGAGAATGATGGCCCAGAAGGGAAGTTCTGGGGAGACAAGGGTTGGGAGACAAGAGTCACTTTGTCCCTCTGTGGCCTGAAGGTGGCTATAGACCTGGGAAGGTCTATGTCGGGCCTTAGCAGCTCAACATTTCATGGCTCTGAAGTCCCCCCAAAGGCGGGCTTCCCTAGAAGACTAGGGGTCCTGCTATCTCTTCACTACGCCTTAACAGTCCTTGCCACGGGTTGGCCAACTTTCATTATCATCCAAGACTCCGTGTGCATGGTGCTCTTTGACAAGGCAAAGCATCAGGTTGCCCCTCCCTACCCTGGGTGAGGGCTTCTTTGAGGCTTACCAGAATTCCTAATTAAGGCATCATTTCTGTTGGGAGAATACCCTGGAAACGAGTAAAATGGAGAATGCATGTCAGTGTGTTTTGCTCTTTTTAATAAAACTTTTCAAACATACAGAAAAAGCAGAGAGAAAAGTGTAAACAGCCATCACCTAGATTCAACAATATTTCATCCAATTAATGAATTATTGGTATTTGCCACCCTTGTTTCATCCAATACTGTCACAGAAATTTTAAAGTCAAGCAGACATCATGACATTTCACCCTTAATACTTTGATTTGTATCTCTAAAAAGAAATGAGGACAGTTTGTTACAGAAGACAAGGCCATTATCACACGACAATTCATACCTCTAGGCGGGGACGATCTAAATTGGGCTGAGCCATCTCGTGGCTGTGGTGGGGAGAATGTGTCATCGCAGTTGGAACCCATGGGATCTCTATAAGTTTGTAAATTCTCTCTCAAAAGTTTTCTTCTCTGCCTAGAAACACATTCAACCTCTTCCTCTCCTAGTAGTTTTATCCTCAACTTCCAGGATTCACCTTCAATGTAATTTTCTCCTGGAAGCCTTCCCTGATGATCACCCCCAAGTAGGGACAGGTGTGCATCAAATAATTTATAATCAACAATCACATGTTCTAGTTATTCCTAACTATAGTGTAAACTTCATGAGGGTAGGCATGGACAGCAACGTTTGGGCATGGGGCTGGGGGAAGGGTCACAGGTCCCTACTTCTACAACCTCTTCCTAGCCAACTTCTTAAGGATATGCTGTGCTTTTACATTGTAAATTAAAACTTCAGTACCTCAGTAGCATTAACTGTACTTTAAGTGCTCAATAGCACAAGTATAAAAAATTTCCATCACTGCAGGACGTTCTATTGGGTGGTGCTGATTCCAAACAAGGTTTGGCAAACTACATGCCAGACTCATGGCCTGTTTTCACTTTTTAAAAGAATTGGTAAAACAAGAAGAAGAAAAACATGTGATGGAGTCAAAATGTAACCCATGAAGCCTAATATATTTATTTATTATGCCACTCTTTATAGTAAAAGGGCCTCTTCTACAGAATCGCCAGTGACCTCTTGTACGATAACAGTTCAGGACCAAGGACAACGCACAAGGCCACTTGGATGTTATTCACCCTTGACCTTGTATGAGGTCTAGTTATTCCTCCCATAAATATGTGTTGAGCGTTTATTATGTGTCAGACAGAATACAGAATATAATGGTGAGCAAGCAGTCACTGTCTCCTGCTGTATTCCCGTTATATTCCTGGTGCATGGTACAATGTACATAATCATTCTTTGTGTTGGTAAATTTGGATATGCAAGGTTTGCCACATTGGGGGCACCTCTGGAGTTGGAAAGCAGGTTTATCCTGTCACATTTGTTGAGGCTGGATCACACACAGCTTGGAACTGGAGGCCTTCACGACCACCTCCCCAAAAGGCTTGCAGAGATAAAGAAGAAGTCCAGAAAGGAGAAGTGACTGAGGTCACAGAGCTGGCTGGGGGAGGGCAAATTCCTCCCATGTCCCATTGGGTGTCCTTTTCTCCCCTTCAACAGTGGGTAAAGCCTTGAGACCTGTTCCACTTCCTCCCAGTCCGAGCAAGTTCAATGCTGACTCATCCCCAGGCTTCCAGATTCCCAGGAAAGGCCTAGGTGTGGAATTTTGAGTCCCTACCACAGCCCCAATAACCAAGGATATTTACCATCCACAAGAACACTGTTCCTGTCCAGAGTGAAGTTCTGCAGCTGGGTACCATTCTGGGTCATCCGCAGGAATTCCTCATAAATGGCGATCCTGTCCAGTCTCCGAGTCAATGGTGAGAAGTTACACAGGGAGTCTACCCTGGTGTGGTTGCTGTGGAGGACAGACCTGGGAGGGCACAAGGAACAAAAAAGGGAATTTAGAATTCTACCCTGACTCTACATTCCCTACTGCTAGGCCCTGTCCAAGATAACTCTGCAATAATGTAAGCATTCTGTGTCTGCACTATCCAACACAGTCATTATCAGCCCCAAGTTGTTATTGAGTACTTAAGATGTGGCTAGTATGGTTGAGAAACTGAATTTCTAATTTAATTTAATTAATTTAAAAATAGCCACAGGGAAAACATGTCTGCAATGTTGGAGTAAGGACTTCTGAAAATCCATTAAAAAAATAACAATAGCAAAAATTGCCAAAAGCAACTTTTCCAGAAGTCTGGAAATTAACCAAAGGCTTGCAACAACCCAAAGAGTGTTTAATTAAGAAAAACAATTGAATCTTGGTAAGGGGAGCAAGCTTTGTGGCATTTTAACTTGCATTATTTCCATACTGTCTCTCAAGATCCTCAGTAATTTGAAAACCAGCAGTCTTAGAACCACTGCAGCTGTGAACACCAAGAGCCTGGCAGTCATAATGGGTTTGCAGCTCCCCAAAAACCCATCCCCAGAGAATTGTCACTATTTGATTTATCTGGCAGCTCCTTGAGAATGCCCCATTCTTAGGTCCTGTCTTTATTTGATCTGATTCAGAGCTTACTCAATGGGGAAATCCCCAGGGCACTTGTCAAAAACAATCAATGGTAATTGTTTACCACTGCAGCTGCCTGAGGGAGCAATTCCATCTGGGGCAGGCAGGAGGCGAGTCAAAAACTTAAAAGGAAAATTTGGAGAATAAGTTGTCCATAGGGGATTTTGAAAAAAAAAAAAAAAAGAAAAGTACAGATGTATTTCTGGGGATCTAGAAGTCCACAAATGTGCAGTGTTTTGTGGATGACCAGGAAAGACTTGAAAAGGCCTGAATTGCTCACCTCTATCTGCAAGGTTGGCTTACTACCTGATGGAGTTGGGATGTGTTGTCCCCTCCAGAACTCATGTGGAAATTTGATCACCAATGTGGCAGTGTTGGAAACAGATCGAGTCATGGGGGTGGATCCCTCATGAATGGATTAATGCTCTCCCTGGGGGTGGGGGGATTAATGAGTGAGTTCTCACTCTGTTAGTTCCCATGAGAGCTGGTTGTCTAAAAGATCCTGGCACCTCCCTCTCTCTCTCTTGCTTCCTCTCGCCATGTGATCTGCTTATACCTGCTGCTGACTGCCATTTTCCACCATGAGTAGAAGCAGCCCGAGGCCTGCACCAGATACAGCTGTCCCAGAATCTGTTCTTTATAAATTACCCAGTCTCAGGTAATCTGTTATAGCAACACAAAATGGGCTAATACCCTACCTGAAAAATTGATCAGCATGATATATCATATTAATAGAATGAAGGACAAAAACTAAATGATCTTGATAGACACACAAAAAGAAGGTGACAAAATATATCGCCCCCTTTTTTTTTTTTTTTTTGTCTTTTTTTTTCGTGACCGGCAACGGATCGCAACCCTCAGTGTCGCGCCCGTACTGGACCAGGACCGGCCACGGGATCGCACCCCTCGGTGTTGCTCCCGCCCCTTGCTCAGCCAGTGAGCGGCCGGTCTGTACGTGGGATCCGAGCCCTCGGCGGGAGCGCCACCGTGCTTCCCAAGCAGCGCACTGTAGCAGTGCACCACCGGGCTGGCCCAATATATCGCCCTTTTATGATTAAAAAAAACACCCCACTCAACAACTAGGACTAAAAAAGAACTCTCTTAATCTGATAGTGAGTATCTATGAGAAACCTACAGCTAACATCAAACTTAATGGTGAAAAACTGACAACTTTCCCTCTAAGACCAAGGATAAGACAAGGTTGTCTGCCCTCACCCTGTATGTTATTCATATTGTACCAGCGATTTTAATGAGGGCTATTAGGTAATGAAAAGAAATAAAAGGCATCCAGATTGGAAAGTATGATGTAAAACTATCTCTGTCTGCAGATGATATGATACTGCATATATAAAATCCTAAGAAATATACACATACACACAACTAAACCTACTAGTTCAGCATGATTGTGTGATTTAAGACCAATCTACAAAAGTCAGTGGCATTTTGATACATGAACAATTCACATTCTGAAAATGAAATTAAGAAAACAATTCCACTTACAATGGCATAAAGAATAAAATACAAATACTTAGGAATAAATCTAACAAAAGAAGGACAAGATCTGTACATTGAAAACTACAAAACATTGTTGAAAAAAATTTTTAAAAGATCTAAATAAATGGAAAAGCACCCCATGTTCATGGATTGGGGATTTAATATTGTTTAAATGGCAAGTCTCCCCACATTGATCTACAGATTCAATGCAATCACTATCAAAACCCCAGCTGGCTCTTTTGCAGAATTTGACAAGCTGATCCTAAAATTCATATGGAATTGTGAGGGACTTCAAATAACCAAACCAATGCTGGGAAAGAACAAAGTTGGAGAGCTTCACTTTCCAATTTCAGACATTATTATTAAGCTACAGTAATCTCAACAGTGTGCTACTGGTATAAGGATAGACATATAGGACGTATAGCAATGGAAGAGACTTTAGAGTCCTTAAACAAACCCATACAATCATGGACAACTGATTTTTAACAAGGATGCCAAGACGATAGGGGAAGAATATTTTTTTAACAGATGATGCTGAGACAACTGGATAACCACATGCAAAAGAATGAAGAGTTGGATCACTGCCACGCAACATGTGCAAAAATCAACTCAAAATATATCAAAGACCTAAGTGTTAGAGATACAATTATAAACTCTTAGAAGAAAACATAAGCATAAATATTCGTGACCTTAGATCAGGTAATAGTTTCTTAATCATGGCACTAAAAACACTAAAAGCGACCATCAGGAGAAACAGATAAACTGAACTCTATCACAACTGAAAACTGTTGTCCTTCAAAGGATGCTATGGAGAAGGTGAAAAGGCAACCTACCAAATGGGAGAAAATATTTTCAAGTCATATATCTGATAAATTTCTGGTATCCAGAGTATAAAAAGAACTTATTACGACTTAACAATAAACCATAAATAACACAGTATAAAAACAGGCAAAGGCTTGAGTAGACACTTCTCTAAAGACACACAAATGGCCTGTCAGCATAGGACAAGATGCTCAACTTCATTAGTTATCATGGAAACGCAAATCAAAACCACAATGAGATACCACTTCACACCTACAAGGATGGCTACTAAAAAAAAGGACAAGAGTAAATCAGTGACGATGTGCAGAATTTGGAAATGGAAAATGGTGCAGCCACTGTAGAATATATTTTGATAGTTCCCCAAGAGTTAAATAGAGAGTTACCACCCAACCTCACAACACCACTCCTAGGTATAGGCCCAAGAGAGCTAAAAACAAAAGTTCAGGCAAAAATTTGTACAGGAAGGATCATAGCAGCCAAAAAAGTGGAGACAACACAAATGTCCATCGATGCACAAAGAGATAAATAAAATACGGTATTGCCGTACAATGGAGTATTATTCAGTATTAAAAAGAAATGAAGCACTGACACATGCCACAACATGGACGAAACTTGAAAACATTAAGTTCAGTGAAAGAAGCCAGACTCGAAAAACGACATACTGTATAATTCCACTTATATGAAGTTTCCAGAACAGGTAAATCCAAAGAGACAGAAATTAGATTAGTGGTTCACAGGGGCTGGGGCAGGGGAATGGGGACTGACTGTTAATGGGTACAGGGCTTTTTTGGGGGGCAATTGATGAAAATGTTCTAAAATTAGATAGTGGGATGGATGCACCATTCTATGACTATGCCACTAAAATTTTCACTTCAAAGGATGAATTTTGTGGTGTGAATTATACCTCAATAGCCATACAAAAAATTTAAATTTCCTCATGTGGTTAGTGATTATCCTATCGGACAGCACAATCAGATTGCTGGATTCTAAATCATCTGATCCTACCCCACGTCTTCCATGGATCCTGGTTTCAGATGCTGATTGCTTATGGCATGGATTCTATACTCAAGATTCCGTGGCTCCCAGCACCAGGCACCTCCATGTCTGCAGAGATTTACATAAGCTCCCTTGAGTTTCTAAGCTAGTTGGGCTCACTGGTTTAGATAGAAGCTATGGATTCTATACTCAAGATTCCGTGGCTCCCAGCACCAGGCACCTCCATGTCTGGAGATTTACATAAGCTCCCTTGAGTTTCTAAGCTAGTTGGGCTCACTGGTTTAGATAGAAGCAGGCTTTTAGATAACATCTCTATATTCCTAGGTCTCTCTTCCATAATAGCTAGGAATTGAGAGACTATGGCATGGGGACACTTTTATTTAAAGGACAGCAGAAGTTCTCAGAGTCATTAGGTCCGGAGTTGGAACTCACCTGAATGTTAAAACTTGACAGTCAGAAAAATAACTCTTGATGCTGCTGTTCCGGAAGAGCTGATTGAGCTGAAAGACAGGGTAACATTTCTCTCACCAGAATCCCAGGCCTAGTGGCACCAGAATTTTCAGCCACTAAGCACACTTCCCCATCTATTTTTTCTTGTTTTGAAAACACTAGCTTGGGTGTGTGTACTAAAGGACATCCTGTTCCAAGGTCTGACTAGGCTGCGTGACCCTGGGCCAGCTACTGAACCTCTCTATACCTGTTTCTTAATTTGTAAAATGAAAACAAATGCGTGTCTTCATGAATTGTTATAAAAAGTCACCCTCTGACTGCCCGGTATCCATAGGTCAATCCCTGCATGGAAACAGTGTGGACACCCAACCCCATTCTCACCGCGTTCTCGATACTTCTCTTGTTCCGCTGGTGTTTGGCAGTGTCTGGTTGGGCTAAGTCCTGGGAATATAGTAGGTTAGTGATGGTGAAATTCAGCTGGAAGTGCTGGGAACTGGGACTGATTGTCGGTTGTTCTGTTGGTGGATAAAACATTGTCTCCACTTCTATAATTAAAAAAAAGTATGTAAACATCCTGTATCAATGGAGGGTTTCTTTTTTTTTTTAAAGGATCCGAACCCGTGGCCTTGGTGTTATCAGCACCGCACGCTCCCGGGTGAGCCACGGGCCGGCCCAAGGGAGGGTTTTAAGAAAGAGGTCATTCCAGCCAGCCTCCTTATTCCTGGCAGCGCGATCTGAGCTGGGATTTTAAAGGCGGGCTACAGAAGACCCTGCCTCCATCTGTCCACCTTGTATCCATCTGTCTACCTGGCCAACTCTCTTTCCATCAAACATTATAAGAGTTCACTATGATGTGGGGAAAGGGAGGCGGGCTCTCTCGGGGGTGTGGCCAGCAAGGGCAGTGGGTATAGCACACACCTGTGTCGAAGCTTCTGACCGATGCTGTAGGTTTCTAAGGGGTCTCCCTGCCTTTGTTCTTCCTCCTCCCAACCCATTCTCCACCCGGCACCAAGAGGACAAGCTTTCTAAGGCAGAACCCCAAGTGTGTGATGTCCCTCCTCAAACCATTCCAGTACCCAGCAAAGTCCCTGCCCACATCTTCAGCTTCAGTTGTCACCTCTCTGATATCAAAATGCATGCTCCAGCTACACCAAACTTCTTACAACGTCCCCAAATATGCCATATCCTTTCTATCTTCTCGGTTACAGACACATGGAGCACCATTCCCTATCTCTTCCCCCCACCAGGTCCTGTTCTCTATCAAATCACAGCTTCTTCATCGTGTCCTACAGAAAACTTTCCAAGACGGGGCTGTGTGTCCCTCCTCAGGGTTCCCATGGGCTCCTGAATTTCCCTTTTGATAGCAATTATCACACGGTATCATCAGTGCCTGCTTAGTTTCATTATGTGTTTGTTGAATGAATGAGTGAATCACTAAATCAATGCATTACTCATAACTGGAGAGTCTTAGGGGGAAACTAAGGATCTTCCACACTTTGGGCTGGAAAAATTTACATGCAAAAATAACCAGTCCCTTGAATGCACTTGCTGCGTGATCTTTCTGTCTCTGTTGAATGATCCACTACCAGGGGTCATAACATAGGCCTCTAGAAAGACCACTTTCTTTCCTTCTAGAGCCTCCCCCCATTTCACTGCTACTCAGAAACATTATCTCTTCCAGCTAAGACTCCAGCCACCCCACCTTGTACCTGTCACATGCAGATCTGTTAACTGATAGGTGGCGCCCAGCCAGTGGGATGAGGCATTCAGGGTCATATCTAGAAAGGCTTGCTTCACCAGGGTAGGATCCAGATTGGAGGAGAACAGTGCCTTGACAGTGACCAACATGGAGCCCAATCTAGAGATAGAGACCATGAGAATTCAGGCAGCACCCGACACCAGGGGTGTCTCAAGTTACCGTCTTTAAAGAGCCAAAGAACTAGCAGCAAGAAGTGGAGAAGGGGGTTGTCTGGCTGCCTCCTCCCTCAGTCTAGAGAAGAGACCCTGATCAAAAGGGGAAGGCTTCCAGGAATCACAGCCAGAAGCAGTGGCAGTAACAATAATTGACATTTATTGAGCACTTGCTATAGATCAAGAAACCTATGCAGTGACTCCCACATTCCCCCCCTCATCACTTTGCTGGAAAATGTTATAATTCTCCCCATGTTAAAGACAAAGGACCTGAAGTTTGAAAATATTCACAGTCATCCCTGTGTCCCATAACATTCCCCAGATTCTTCACCCAGCCCTCAGAAACCTGGGTTCAAATCCCAATGCTGACCGTTCTTGGGACGTTCATTTCCCTTCTCTGAGCCTCAGTTTTCCCATCTGAACAACGGGGATGATCATCGTACCCTCTTGACAGGGGCTTTTGCAAGAGTTAAATGAGATGATCATGCACAGAAGTGCTCAACAGGGAGACGGGTCGATGGTAAATGCAATGATTGGGTTGATATTTTGAGTTTTACATCAAAAAGTTGTCTTCCCCAAATGTCCAGAAGAGGAAATGGAGGTGGGTGCTGGGGGCTGCCCCCTGCACTGAATATCTGCAGAAGGAGATGGTAGGAATCGCCCACAGGGATGTGGAGGACAATGGGCACATGCTGGGGATTTCCAGCTCAAGGATGTGCCACAGGAGTTCAAAGCTGCAGCCACCAGCCCAGCCAATGCTTCCGACCTCCCCAACTTACGTCACATTGGTGACCAGGCAGGAGCGGAATATGTCTCGTAGCTGGCTGCCTGCGTAGATCGTGGTGACCTAGACGGAGGGACAGGGAGAGTGGGTGAGATAGAAGTCTCTTGCAGGTAGAAGGGCTGCTGGAGCCCGTGGAAAAAAACACAGCCCGTGGAGCAAAGGAGACCTCTCTCTGCCCCTAACTCCCTGTGTGACCTTAGGCACACCACGCCCCTTTCTGAGCCTCCGTCTGCCCATCTAGGAAATGGGGAAGGCAGCCTGGGCACCACTTTGAGAGAACCCAAAACACATCAATAAACTGAAGAGTTAGGAAAATCACTTAAAACAGGTGGAGTCTCCCATCTCCAAAATGCTTGGAACCAGAAGTATTTTGGGTTCTGGATTTTTTTTCCAGATTTTGGAATATTTGCAGAATATGTACTGGTGCAGCACTGCTAATCTGAAAATTTGAAATCCAAAATGCTCCAATAAGTGTTTCCTTTGAGCATCATGTTGGTGCTCAAAAGTTTCAGATTTTGGAACATTTTGGATTTTTGGATTAGGGATGCTCAAACTGTAGATGTAGGGCAGACAGAACCATGAGATGGGAACCCACAGCAAGGAGAGAAGGGAAGGGTGAGAGAAACTCCACCTTGTCCTGGATATCCCTCAGCAGGGCAGTGTACTCCAAGGATGTGGGGTCTGGCTTGTTGAGGTTCCAGTTGATGATGCGGAAATTTAGCTGGTATTCACTCTGGGTCGATAAATTCCGGGGTGCATAGCCTGGAGCCACAGAGAGAAACAAAAGACAGGGGGAGACCTTTAGCTTTTTGCACAGAGCCAGGATGGCCCAGGGGGACCCTGCCTGCTGTCAGAATCAGCCAAAATCAGACCAGCACACTGGGAGCAGTGGAGGGTCTCAAATAAAAAGTCACCCCAAAGAGGGGGGAAACTAGCATTTTAAAGGGATTCTCCTGAGCTGCACTCTCCTGCCAGGGGTGTGTAGTTCCCACTGCCTAGAATCCTTTCCAACTCTTTTCTTTTCCTGGGAACCTATTCATGCTTCAGAAACCCAGTGAGATTGATCTCCAGGAGATCTCCATGTCTGTCTTGTTTGCTGTTGTGTGTAGGTGCCTAGCATTCACCCTCTTCCAGGAAGCCCTCCTTGACTTGCCCCTACTCTGAGCACCCACAGCACCTTGTTAATAACAGCACCACTGTCTTTATTGTGCTCCTAACTAATCCTTAGTTCACTTGAGTATGAGTTTTCCAGGGACAGAAACTGTGCCTTCTGTCTTCATACCCAGCACAGGGTTTGGGACAGAACAATTACCCATATAGGTTTGTTGAATGAATAAATGAGCTGCAGATTTCCAAATATGGAGGCTGAGTCTTCTGTCTTCATACCCAGCACAGGGTTTGGGACAGAACAGTTACCCATATAGGTTTGTTGAATGAATAAATGAGCTGCAGATTTCCAAATATGGAGGCTGAGATGCTCATCTTTTATTTGTTCACTCATTCATTCTGTACTATCACGTGCCAACATATTGAGGACCGAGGATACAGTCCCACACCCTACAGACCATAATTTCATAGAGGTCACAGTGTGAAAGTGAGTCAGATAATTTCAAAAGCAATTACAGTAAAGTGTGATAGGTGTTGGTTCAGTGTCCATCTGGGAACTGTGGGATCATGTACAATAGGGTTTCTCACCTTTGGAAATACTGGCATTTGGGGCTGGACCATTCTCTGCGGTGGGGAGTCTCCTGGGCTCTGTAGGACGTTGAGCAGCACCCCCACTTCTAACCCACTAGATGCCAATAGCACCCTCTCCAAGTTGCAAAAATGTATCCAGGCTTTGCCAAGTGTCTCCTGGGGGGCTGAACTGTCCCTTAGTGGGAATTGCTGACATAGAGAAACCTTACATAGAAGAACTTGTGATCTGTCTCAAAACCCATTTGGATTTTGAATTAAAATTCATTACAGATGAACCTGAAGATCGTTATGCTAGGTGAAATATGTCAGACACAGAAAGACAAATACTGTCTGATCTCACTTATCTGTGGAATCTAAAAAGTCAAACTCGTAGAAGCAAAGAGCAAAATCTGGTTACCAGGGACTGGGGTGATGGTGGTGATGGTGGTGCTGGAGGAAACAGGGAGATGTTGGTCAAAGGACACAAACTTTCAGTCATAAGAAAAAAAAGTTCTGGAGATCTATTGTAAAGCATGGTGACTATAGTTAATAATACTGTATCTACGGCTGGCCAGTAGCTAACCATTGGTTAGAGCTAACAGTTGGTTAGAGCGCGGTGTTGTAATATCAAGGTCAAGGGTTCGGATCCCCATATTGGCCAGCCACCCCAAAACAAAAAACAACAACACTTTATTTATTGTATACTTGAAATTTGCTAAGAGAGAAGATCTTAAATGTCTTACACACAAACACAGTAACTATGAGAGGTGATGGCTATGTTAAGTAGCTTGACTGTAGTAATCATTTCACCAGGTATATGTATATCAAATCATCATGTTGTCCATCTTAGATATATACAATCTTATTTGTCAATAATGCTGGGGGAAAAGTGAAGGGGAAGTAAGGACTTTAAAAAGATAAAATTCATGACATTAATTTGGTCAAAGAATTTCATGCTATTTACCTGAAATAATAGGAAAGACCCTCTCTGTGGTGGTCTAGGGAAGGATATCCCCCGACCAGGGCTTGGGCTTACCTCTTAGAGAGGAAAGGAAATAAACCAGGGACAACTAACAGTCACTGTATATCCAAGTCCAGCACAACCACTCACCGTTGACAAAGAGACTGTCTCTGTCCAAGGCATAGAAACCCAGTTGGGTGATGCCATGGGTCAGCTGGCTCAGCTCCCAGTACAGTCGTTCTCTGTCCAACCCGGGGCCCACGGGGTCAGCACCAGGGCTTGGGCTTACCTCTTAGAGAGGAAAGGAAATAAACCAGGGACAACTAACAGTCACTGTATATACAAGTCCAGCACAACCACTCACCGTTGACAAAGAGACTGTCTCTGTCCAAGGCATAGAAAC